AAAACGGGTTTTATCACGGTGAGATGCAGGGCGGCGCGGAGGTGCCAACCGTCACGGCCTCACCGAGCAGAAATCTTATTTTTCGTTATTCTCTTCGTATTTCTAACGGCTTTTCTCACCCCCCCCCCCCCCCCCCCTCCCACCGCGGCCGCAGGGAAGCGGCTGTTCCGTCGTGTGCTGAGAGCAGCGGCTCAGCGCACGCTCCCGAAGGAGGAACGGGAGGGGTGCGGTCTCCGGGGTGAGCGTTGCGGTGAAGCTCGGGGCGCTCCGGCTGCGCGAGGTGTTCTCTGTGCGTGGCAGCAAACCCCAGCGCTGCTTCCGAGTTCCCTGCTGGGAACGCGGGCAAAGCGCTGCAGGAAGCTGAAGGACAGATTGTGCAGAGCCCAATGTCGGCACGATACACTCAGCCTCGGGAGACAGACAAGTCAGCGTTAACTCTTCAGGATCATAAAATGGAATTTATGTGTATCATTCCTGATCAAAGCATAATAAGTAAGAGCCAAGAAAACATCAGCTGGAGAAACCCCGCTGAATGTCAGGAAATCTTACTTTTTCCTACAGAATCTGTACGGTTTCTGCAGCACCAAGGCAACACTGGAATTACTACCATGCCAAGGTCATGATCCTATTAGTCTAGATGACAGCCTTGAATACCAGCTTGTGAAAACTTAAGTCTTTCAAAAGAATCAGATGAGAATAGCCTAGAAGCAATTAAACACTTGCTCTTAATCCTTTCAAGTATTGTAATGCTCCCCCAGAAATACCTCGATGTTTGCTGGTAATGCCTTGGGTTTCTCCAAAAGGCCTTTGCCAATGATGCAGAACAGTTCTTGGCCCTACAAAAGGCAACTTTATAATCGTGAGCGGGCTTCTCAACGAATCGTTGACCAGTTGTGCATGTTCTGTTCTTGAAGCACAAGAAATACAAGGTGATAAGCAGCAGTTTCAGTCTCATCTTTTCCTCTCACCTCTCGCATTTTAATTTGTGCTATGCCACAGTCTCTTGCATTTCAACGTATGCATGTATATGCACAGACTCCTTGTGGGCTTGTAAAAAACTGTAGGGATATTGTGATCTTTTCTTTCTTCTAACCAAGGTAATTAGCAAACAATTACCATAACTTTCCTATTACCAAAGTTACAATTATACTAGAATTGTATCTTACCATGAAAGTGGTTTTATTTTAAAAAGTAAAATCCAGCGGATATGAAAACAAGTGCCATCCAGACAAATCTGAAACAAGTTGGGTTTTCTGCATGTGTTAAAACACAAGAACAGTGTGAACATGGATATTCTACTCACTCCTCTTGTTAAAGAATTAGAAATAAGGAATTAAATACTGTTTTTTTCTAATCTAACTTCTGGAAGAACACAGTTCAGAATAAAGTCAAGATAACAGCCCTGTAACTGGATGAAAGAAAAAAAAAGTATTCTTAAAACGGAATTAGTTAATGAATCTGAAGTCTCCTTGTGAGGAGGCTAAAAATGAACCCATTTGGCAACCTTTATAAAAAAATAAGGTTCATTGCACAGGCGCGTGGGGGGCAATCCATATTGCCTCTTTCAGAGCCGAAACGTGAATTGTCATCCCTCCCTCTGCAGCACAAGAAGCTGACTGCTTTCCACCATGCCATTTCTTCTCCCCAGAAGGCTGCTTTCACGGCTTTGACTTGGTTCTGAGTTTAGAAGTTGAATAGTTTCACTAGTATAAAGGTATACAAACAGCTCACATACAAAAACCTCCAAGTCCTTTATTAACGTTTCCAGGATGTATGTGGTACATACAATTAACATTACACCAGCTACAGGAAGTCCTCTGTTGCAAGAGGGGCTTCAAAACAAGGATCCCAGAGCACCAACATAGACACACACACACAGACACTACAAAATCACTTTGAAATGATTTCCCCCCCAACTTTTTTTTTTCTTTTTTTGTTTTTTTTCCCTCCTTTTTTTTTTTTTTAAATTGACAGCTGGGACTTCTGAGCCATTGGACATTCTGAATGTGGCAGATCTCCTCGTGCAGTGGCACTGGTATAAGAAGGCTACTTCAGACACTGGAAGGTCACAAGAACAAGAACTGAATGGGGTAACTGAAAGTGGTGTTGTCATTTCCAACGCTTTGAAGCACGGCTGAGTCGATACCTGTACGTCAGCCTCCTGGTGTCCCCTGCAGAGTCTCCTGCGTTACGGGTGCGTACACGCCTTGCGTGCGTTTACCCCTAAGCTGCAGAACAGGAGAGCACTGTCCACCACACGTTGCATCGCTAGTTCCAATTAGTAGGCACTGACACATCAGGAGGGTTAAACAAATGGGACTGGAAAGACTTTAAAAAGGGATGAGCCTGAGAGAAATCTTTGTTCATCATGAGAGATCAGCGACAATCCCTTCAGGTCACCAGGCTTCAGACGTCCATCTGTTGCCATCTGTTCCCTAAACTCATCCTTTTTATTCAGATGCTCTGCTTAAAAATAAACCCAAACTACAAAAAGGTTCAACTCCATTCTGTACACGTTCTCCACTTCCAGAGTCATTGTTCTGGCTTTAGACCTTCTCCTTTCGCTTTAGTTTGGATACCTTCTTGACAGTTCCATTCTTGTTTAGAAGCTTCAAAACACGGTCCTTGTGATCCAAGACCTTTAGCATGGAGTCTCGAGCTTCACTGATTTGATCCATCACAAGTTTACACCTCTGCATATTCCCCTGAAATGAAACGCTGTTGTGAGTGACAGCAGGCCATCTAGTCTGAGGCAACCGCTGCACCCTTCCCAATACCACTAATACCACGTGGATGAGGCTGGAAACGCAGGACGTGTACCTACATGGGGTTTTTTTAAGCCAGCTTTAGCACTTACTAACTGCAGGAGGGTATTTTGTAACTACACGTAGAGCAGTTCTGCCGGGTTGAGAGGCCACAGGAACCTACCTGTATCAGTTCATTGATTCGATGCAAGTCGTCATCGGTCGCTGCCTTTTTCTTGGGAATGAGTCCCTCCTGCAGGGCGGTCAGTCTCTCGTACACGTCGTGCTCCAGGTTTGTCTAAAAGACATCAGCCCTTCATGAGAAGGCTCACCGCTAGGCCAGAGAACGTTCACCCGCATTACGACAGCTACACAGAGAAGATGATAATCCGTTCCCCTCTCAGCTGCTCATGTTAGTGATTCAGAAGATGGAGCCTCTGACGTAGAGTGTGGCGCTATCATTCTTACTAACATCCTATTTACAGGATCGCTCCACTTCTGAACAAACATGGATCCTAACCAGAACTGTTTCCCCTGATTCTCACAATGCTATTCCAGGAATGCAGAGGTTTTGGGGAGTTTGGTGCTAGAATGCAGAGCACCTACCTCACCCCCAACCTGAAACAGAAGCATCCAGGAATGTGGATCAGTGCTGCCTCCTCAGATCAGCCGCACCATCCCAAACAGACGCTTCTTCAGACCTGTGCATCAGCGGGAGGGAGTTGCCAATTTTGATCATCTGTACAAAATACATCAGCTCTTATGTCTGGATCAAAACCAACACTCCAAGTTTCCAAGCCACTTACGCCACATTCCTGAGAAAGGGGAAAGCGTGTCCCACTCCCTTTGGGCACTACACACCAGCTCCTTTATGGCATCCTAGTGTCAGATGAGCACGTACTGAGTTTGTAAAAACATCCTCCTGTCTTACACAGCTCTGTGTTCCCCCACGTCGTAAGAAGCTGGCAAGCCCCATTCACCTACCAGCTGTAGTAGCTGCGCTGCACAGAGATGGACCTTCCACCCTTGTGCACGGCAGGATACACCCTTCTGATTGGCAATCTCCTGTAGCATAGCCTTCTTCTCTTCTGTTGCCAGGAAAAGCAAAGACACATTACTCAAATTTCAAGAGTTCGCCAGGCCTCTCTTCTCAAACAAAACCACGAACCCAAATCCTGCTCTCCACACGTCCCAACAAACAGGAATGAGCCACGTTTTGATTCAGACAGGAAAACAGCTACCCATCTGCCCCTGCTCTCACTTATTAACAGTTACCTGTATTCCCAGAAAAATTATATCCCGTTTCCCCCCCTCCCCTTTAAAAAGTAGCGCTTAGTATTTTAAGTGCCCTGCATGAAAAAGTGAACCACTGAAATACATACGTGTTGTATTGTATCCCTGATGTATTTACACAGTTGTGAAAACCCAGTCTGCTTAAAAATTCTAAGAGATTATCTAAAAAACCCTAAAACCCAGTATGGGATCTCTATTTTCCTCATCTTAGAAAAGAATCTTCATTAAAAGCCCATTTGTTAGTTGACAAGACTAGTTACACTAAATCTAGAATGTTTTTTATTAAATCTGCTAGCTTGTTAGGTAGCAAGAAAATCTGAAAACTGAACTGTAGCATATCACCATAGCACATCACTTCTTTAAGGATTGCTTTCTTTAATAAGTTTCTGTCACTGTATGTAAATACATTTCTCAATAACTATATGATTTTTTCTTTTACAGAATTACGGCTAACTCTATGCAACGTCCTTCCCTTCTTTTCTCCTCTACCTTGAGAGCAGAAGAGATTTAGGTATCATCTAGCTAACGAAAGTCATTAGCTGACTTGCTCAACCCTTGTTGTCCAGATTGCCATCCAAACCTTTACGTGGGATTGCGCATCAACACCAGGTAGCTGAGCGCTCCTAAGACCCCCCGAGGAGGCATGCTGAGACCCCCTGAGGAGGCACGCTGAAGCGCCTCATCCCAGCTGAATGGAGCTGCGAGGCTACGAGCAGCAGACTGAGCAGCAGACTGACCTTTCACCCGGACATCGCTGTATCTCTGGAAGTGGTGGTAAGCAGCTTTCCAAGGGTTGCGATAATGACGGAGCAACGTGATAGGCGGCCTTGGACGCACAGGGACGTATCGTACACCTTCTTCATCTAGAAAAGCATCCAAGGAGAACTCTATCATTATCATCAAGGAGGTGAAGGGAGGAGATCAGCATGACACAGGCACTGCGGCAGCAGAGCACTAAGCACCGCCTCAGACAAAATGATGCTCTGTGTGTCGAGAAAGGTCGTTTTGCCTGAACATGACTATACCGGAAGTGCTGAGCAACAGGTGCTTGCATGCTGTATTATTTATATTTAGGAAGCAGGGGAATGACAGAGCACCTTCTCCAAGAAACAAATGGAATACAGGCACCTGAATAGGAGAAAAGACACTAGAGATGACAGTACCTATATACTCCTTTGGAGGAGACTTCCGCTTCTCTGCCTTCACCAGCAAACTTTTGGCAGTGGATTTCTCATCATCAGTGCTGTTTGTTTCCATCATGTCCCCTTCCTCTGTGGAGATGACATGCTGCTGCTTACGGGGTTTCTTCCTCGGGGAGGCACCAGGTGGCAAATCACTTGGAGGCATTGAAAGGTTGTTGGCCAGCAACGCCAGAGACGGAGACACAGTACTTGTAGTCAGAGGAGGGACTGCTGAGAGGAAGAAGAGAGGAGAAGAACCCAGACCATCAGTAGTGTCAGGGCAACACACTAGCGCTGTCTGAACACCACCTCCCAACAGCAGCTGCTGTTTCAGTGCACTGCGAGGTGCGCGGACGCCACTGTGTGTGCACTTCAGCTCCATGTGTGTAGACAGCCAGATACTAAGCCAGCAGCAACTGCTAGGACAAGCCTATGCCCTAAGACCTTTACTGTCTCATGTACAAGAGCATAAAGAACGACAGCAGAGACAACTGTCCCTGAATTCAATTCCTTCATATTTAAAGCTTATGTTGTACAAAAAGGAATCCACGCTAACGTCTGTCTTGTGTTACTGTAAAAACATCTTTGCACATCTGCCAGCATGGATCGCAGTCGATAGCAAGCAAGTCCCCCTTCCTTCCTCCTTGTAATGTACGTAGAGACTCTCACGCAATCCAGTCGGGACTGCGGTATGCCTTGCAAGAGTCTACTTGTACTGCCAAGTGAACAGCACCATGCCAACAGGTTCCTGCCCCAGTCAACACACCTCCGAAGCTGGGCAGCTCAGCGGCAGGCAGTGTGGGGAATGCTCCTCGACATTCGGAGGGAAAGCTCAGTCAGCCATGACTAAGGCTGCAACAAAAAACTTCTGGGGTGGGATCTCTCGACAACTTGGCATACCCAGAACTGCCAGCAAGAGACAGAAGAACGCTGAAGAGCCTAGAGCTATCTGCCTGCGCTCCAGAGACAGCTGTAGCAAGCAGCTTCTCCCACCACAGGGCAACATACAGCTTTCAGGAGAGTGATGAAACCAACAGCCAAAACAGAACTCTGATGCCATGTAACCCATGAACGTGGGACTCGCTCGTATCATTCTGCCACTGTATGGTGCCTGATCCGAGATCCGTAAGGATCTGAATTCTACGGATCGTACCATCCGATAGCAACTATGGCCGTGCTGGATAAGTAAGGCAATATAATGAATACTTTCAATAAAGTTCTAGAGAAAAATATGCATCAGTCACAGGAGGGCCCTGCTAAGGCCTCCTCTGATCACTACTTCTTCACATAAAAGAAAGGCCCTTGGACCTGGACAGTAGAATTTGTGAGAAAACTGAAATAAACTCTACTGATCCACCCATAATATATTGGCACTGCTGCTGAGTGTGTGCTTTAAGCAAGGAGTTCGCTCAGACTCTTTGGAATTGGATCATTTGAACACGAACAAAGCAGTCCCAACAAGAAGTGATTTCATGGGAGATCAGAGAGAAGGCAAAGCACTTTGTGAATAATAAGGCCTATGGGGACCCTTTGACTGGTGTTCTGTGCTACTATGAAAGAGATGCCATTTCATTTTCAGGATGCAGGTGTTGAAATCGTCCTAGTTTCTACACTGTCTGAACAACAAAAGAACCAACCTGATGATTAACAACCACCTACCAGATACTGGTCGCATTATGTCCATAGGCTCCACCTCCTCTTTGATTTTGATCTCTGGTACGGCAGGACCCAGCACTGCTGAGAGCGCACCGCTCATGGTTGATGGAGGACCCGGTCCTGCCACGATTGCGGTGGAGGTTGGTGGAGCGGCCGGGACAGCTCCTGGAATGGTGGAGAGCGCTGCTGCGGGCTGCGAAGTGGGGCTGGCTGCCGCGATGATTGCTGGAATGGCAGAGGGGGGCTGCTGGGAGGTAGGGGGGACCGCGATGGTGGGCTGCTCGCCGCCTTGACTGGACACTGCTTCCATAGACACAGTGACTGGAGTGGCCATGGACACGTGAATTTCAGGTTTTGGCTTGGCACTGTAGCACAAAAAAAGCAAAAACTGACGTTAGGTGCATCCCAGTCGTGACCACCTAGCAAGGGAATGAGCCGAGCTGGATTCAGGCTGTCCAGTTCTTCCTGTACCAGTCAGCAACACATCGCTCAGTAACGTGTTTAACAACAGGAGCTGTCATCTCGGTTATACTTCCCCCTCCACCCCCTTTCTAATCCTTCGTATTTATTATAGGTCCTCTCTTCCACTCACTGTAACAAGCAAATCTCGTGACTAATTCCAGGTAACTTCAAAGTATGTGTACAAGGAGCAAGACAGTTTCACACTATGGACAAGAGGAATTTTTACCCAAAGCTGTATTTTCTCCCCCCAGCTCTGTTTGCAAGAGCTCCCACTGTGGGCAGTAGTTATAAAATAATAAATTGTGAAGCCACTGAACTCAGCTGAAGCCAGGCAGAAGCTCTATTTACCTTTCTTCGGCATTAATTTCCACGTATTATAGAAAAAAGTTTTGAGGCCTATCCTTTACAATAGCTTTTTGTTTGTTTCTAATGAAAGCTCACAACCACATCTTTTAGCAGGCTACCGCCTCAGCTTCACAAAAGCAGAACTAGTCAAGCCTCTTCAGAGTTGTCACACTGACAAATTCAAAATAGATTACGTTTCCCAGAAGAAAGGAAAATGCTCCGATAGCCAAAGAACACAAATCAAACACGTACAATCAAACTGTTATGATGCAGCTGGTCATTTCCTAAAGCCTTACCCGGCGGGCCTTGGCGATCCAGATGTGCTTCGCATAGCGCTCTCGACACGCGTGCTGGCTACCTCAGGTGGCTGAGGTGGAATTAAGCTTTTCCGGACTGCCAGCCTGTAAGAGACAGACAGAGCTAAGGTTCCCCCCTCCCTGAGGCGAAGACAGGCACCTCTGAGAGCACAGGAATCGGCCCTCTCTTGCCCCAACCAGGACAGGAGTCACAGCCGTATCACTGCACTCTGTCTTCAGTATAACCGACCCGCTACAGAAAGAGCCTCATTTTACTTTTCAAATTAGATGTTATGCTTTATTTTCTTTAAAGATAGATTAGTTGCTCTGGCCTAGTCTCACCCCCATTTAGGGCTCCTCCAAGAATGCCAGCTTTACGTTCATCCCGCCGGTCAGAGCATCTTCCTGAGACTGCCAGGCTCCAGCATCAGACAAAGGGAGCTCTGGCCAGGCCACTGTCCTCCACTGCTACTTCAAGACTGAGCAAATCATCTGGAACTGAACAGTGCTCAGACAGGCACCTGCTTTGTTAAGCTGGACTAGACTGTGTCAAAGCCTGAGTCCAAGACCTCCAGCCCTGAATGTGGATGTTAGGCAGCACAGGGCTGAATACGGGAAAGTATCTGAGAGACTATTCAGTCTCCCGAGGGGCTGGAAGACAAACTGTTGTCCAAAATAATCAACCTCTCACGTGGAAGCATCCTTTACGATCTACCTCTGCTTCGCTCATTTGTTTCAGTTTTACAGCCTGCAGCTTCTCTGCCTTAAAAAAAGGTTTCCATCCAAGTAAAAAAAAATACAATTTAGTCTCATAGGACACAACAGTTCCAAATGTTTTCAGTTGTCAGTCAGGAGGAAATGCATTGTTAATTCTAAAGCTGTCTCTTGCCTCTTTATTCGGGCACTTAAAATTAGACAGGCAACATAAAATATTTTAGGAGTTTAAGTTACTCCCTCCCTTTTCCTAATCAGATTTCACAGCAGGTTACTAATCCTATCCTTTCTACTCATTCCACATTTCTTCCAAGAAAAGCACCGAAGACAAAGCACAGAATTCTAATTTTAGTAGATTCTGAACTCTTTGTTTTTATTACACTAAGCAAGAAAGCCTCAAATCCACTTTCCCTCAAAAGGTCATTTTCAAGAGCTGGGAGACAAACTGTCCTTCTCATTTTATTACCGACAGTAAGGAAACTATAGCCTGCCCGGGGGAGGAAAAGGAGCGTGCTTCGCAGATCAGCAGTTACTCACAACCACTGCAGACTGAATCACCTGCCAGAACTGTTCTTATCTCCACTGAAACGACTCCGTTTAGCCAGGCTGGACTGCACAGAGGCGTCATTCATGTGCCACCTTCAGTTCTACTCACCCGTCTGTGGTTGGCTTCTTCCGGAGGATGCTTGGGCGCGGGGAAGAGCCCTGGGCCGGCGCGCTGGCACTGGCACTCTGGCTGTGGGTTTGCACAACTGTCGTTGCTGCAGAAGCCGTGTTGAATGTGTTGCTAATAGGATTGGCTACGATGGTGGCTCCATCTGCCAAGACTACTGCTGGGAAGGATGGACATCGACACAGCAGAGAGAAGAACAGAGAGAGGGAAAAGCAGCAGTTACCTAAAGAAATCTGATGACAAAGTGGGTGTTTGCAGAGCATGTGTTGCCCATGCTCCCTTGACTCTCTCAATCTTTGGCTGCAGTGCTTTCAGACTGTTTTGTAAGCAATACCTTTGCTATAAGCAATCTGATCACCGAGCCTTCTGCAGGGAAGATGGAAACCACCTCCTGCCTAACAACTGCTGCTAGGGAAATAATCTTCTCCGAAGAAGTGGAAAACGCAGAAATCGCTAGGGAGATCACCAACACAACTGGGTCAACAGAATAACACTCCCGGTCGTGTCTGCGTGGCAAGACATGCCACTTGCAAGTAAGCACCGTCAGCTCTGTTTATGTTCTGACCTTCTGCCAGAGCCTGTTTGGCCAACTAGCCGATGCAGAGCGGTCAGAGAGTCAGGAAGTCACCGCGCAGCACCTCTGCCAGCTCTGCAACAGCGTATTCTCTTGGTTGCCATACCCCATTTCCTCAGAAAGCTGTCAGGGCTTCATCAGACCAGTAATTTTTAATGAAGCATGGTTTGCATCACAGTCCAACATCAGGTTACCACCTGCTGAAGGTACCTGGCCGTATTTTAATTGCTACTGTGACCTAACACGTAGCCGGAACAGTCCAGAGAACATCGTTTACTTGTAAATGATTTTTCCCTCAAGGCCTCACTGAAGGGAGGCAAGGCACTGGTAGTGCCTTGTTTAAGCTCAGGCACTACCAGTCTTTTCCACTGAAGCGACCCATTCAGGGCTACCCGCACACTCCACCCGGTATGCTTAAAAAAATAAAGAAATAGGTAAAAAATATTTGCTGGGAGAATATGCGTTTGAGTGTATTTAGCATCCACTACTGGACCACAGGGACTACAACAAGATCATTAATCAGAGTACAGAAAAAACCAAGCCAGATGCGTAGGACAGGAGTTCGGTTGCTCCACCCAGGTCCACAGCCCGGGCTTGGCCGGTTGCCCTTACCCGAAGTCTTGGTGTCGGCCTGCGGCTGCTGCGCGCCGATGGGCGCCGGCTGCAGCCCCGGCGTGCCGATGGGTGCGGCGGGATGGAGCCCTTGCGTCCCGATTGGCGCCGGCTGAATGCCCTGGGCGCCGATTGGCGCCGGCTGGATCCCCCGCGCGCTGATGGGAGCAGGCCGGGAGGAAAAAAAAGACGGTGGAGGCCACGCCGACGCCGGTCTGAGCTGTGATGGCCGAGTTGGGCGCCTGGGCCGACACTGCGAGCAGCAACACACACAGAGCGCGTCACACCGACCCTGCCGGTCGCCTCCGGCCCCCCCGGCACCTCTCGCTCAAGCACTCGCTTTCAAAGACTATTTTGCTTTGACAAATTAATTTGGCAGCCTGCTTGTTGCAGTAGTAAATTTGAGAGTGGAGAGGCCAGATTGTCTGCCAGAGGAATTACGCGTTACTGCTTATTTCCATCCCATTTTCTATCTCAAATTGCAACGAGAGAAAAGATCAAGTTTTAACTCCGCTTTTAGACTCAAATTACGCTTCTGTCCTCAGCTTCCAGTCTCAGAAAGCTGCATGCTATTTTTGCTGTCTTATTTTACAATGCTTGTAAGCACCAACACTTGGCATTTTCCCTGCTTAAAAAAAGTAAATTTAAAAAATCAGAAGTCTAAGCCATTTCTTTTCAAAAGACAGTCTTTCCACAGAGTTTATCATTACATCAATTAAAAACCTCCAAACCTCTGACTGTACCAAGGCAAGCAGAGACTCAAGTGTGAGTACTTTAAAAGAGGGCTTACTTCCTTACCCCTCTCCCCAGCCACATGATCATAAAGAAAACCAGTTTTTCTTGGCACAAGCGGACAAACTGTCCTGAAGCTGAGCACAATCTTATCTGGTTCGGAATGGGGCTCGCAATTATAGGCTGGATTCCACGGCTCAAATGAGCACAAAGTCTTCCTGTGGCAGAACAATGTTCCCAACGAAGCACCTGTTCTTACTAAGAAGTTCATTTATTCGAATTTACAGCTCTGAGCAACTACGATTCCATCTTTCCAGATCCACCATGCGGTGTGTTACACTTCTCCCAGGCAGCATTTAACGACGCCGTTCGGATCCCCGCAGCTCCTGGATCTCCAGCCTTCACAGCACAGCACCACGATTTCTGTAGCCACACGCAGAACGCAAGCGCGGACTCGCCAACAGCGGACTTGCTCGCTAACAATGGGGAGCCCTCTTACCGCAGAACAAGCTGGGTTTGTCATTGTCACAGGGTTTCGATTAAGTTCTGCTGACAAGACACGCTGAAAACAGCTGTCAAAAAGCTTAAATCCGGCAGCAGGTCCCTGAAAACGGCGGCTGTATAATGCACGGCACGTTGATTCTCTCAGTGGAACACCTTAGGCAAAGCGCTCCTGTTGCAGAACTTCCTATCCAACAAAATCCTCCTGGGAGACTGCACAAACAAAACCAGCATTTGGAGAGCCAAAGCCAACGTTCTTCCCCAAAATTCCATACTAATGCTCCTTATCTCAGTGACCTTTTAAAAAGTCTCCTCTGCACTTTTACAGAAGCCCTGACCTGGCTGTGCTCAGCACAGGTTCGTGTTCCTCCAGATACTGTGAATCCTCCGCTTTGAGTTGTCACCAGCTGCTGCCACAACTGGGACCTTTGGATGATGCCTCAAGTCAATTTAACAAGCAAAATGTTTCTCGGCAAGTTTCTGCTGAAAAACACGTATCTGCTTTTTTAAAAATTAGCATTAGCCTACCATCACCCCAATATGCTACAAAAACTGAAACTCCTGACAGGTTTCTCTCTCAAACTGTACACTCATGTGGAAAGAGATGAAAATGGGCTTGTCAGAACACCAGGGAATGAAGACGCATCAAAGAACTGGTTTGGTTTGGAGGAGTTTAACTGCTTTGATTTGCAGAATCCAAAACTTTTACTTATAGAGATGCAAACCCTTGGATGTCAAACGTGAAACTCCTGAGCAAGCTGTTACTAGCTGGGCTTTGTAGGCCGCCGAAGTAGTTCAGCACCCCTTGCCCACGAGTTTTTCCTTCAGCCCACGAGTTATCAAAGACTCTGTGTGACAAAAAGCCAGAGTCAAGCACAAAAGCCTCTTCGCTTCTGCCACCACTAAAGCTCATACGGAAGCTAAGGACCGAACAAAGCGTCCACGTCACCTCGCCCCAAAGCCTGTCTTACCTGGATACTGGCGAATGGTGGACACCGAGCTGGTGATGGGGGTGTAGGTGTGTGCAGTCAAAGGATAGGCAGAGGGCGGGTATGTTGGCAAGAAATACTGGAACTGGACAGGCACCGACTGCCTGCAGGCATCAGAAAGAGCAAGTATTACACACACCATTTCAGCAGTTCATCTTCAACCCCTGCCTCTGGGCCACTCCCTGAGTTTTGTAATCTCAAATATCATAAGCTATCAAGCATCTCAACTACCACGACTAATTCAAAACTCCCAAATCCCCCCCCTCCCCATTTTTTCAAAACACGTTACTTCCAGCATATCAGAACCCAGAAAAGCAGCAAGGCAGTCAAAACCAACTCATGCACGCTCTCATTCATAGAGCTGTTGTCTCCCTACCTGTTGTCATTCCTGGTTTCCATTGCTACCGGGTTTGGAGACGCCCGGTGACTGGAGAGGGGTATGAGATTACTCCTCTCGGCTGTGTAATCGGACTGGATCCGGGGAGAAGTATGCGTGATCTGCTGAGGAACCACTTTAGCTGCATAAAGACAGACGTGTAATCAGTTGACAGTCAAAGGAAAAGTTGGTAGATGCTGCAAAGGAAGAATAATTCTCCTGGCAAACACCTCCCTACAACCTCCTCCCCTCCAGCCAGAAAGAGCATCCCATCCCCAGATGACTTCCTACCCACAGTGACGACAGTTTTCTCAACAGGAAGAAAGAACAAGGGAAAAGCATTTTTCATCAATTTGTACCAGAATAGAAGGACATTATAAATGCATATATAAATTATACTTGCTAACAGATTCAGTTATTCCAGTGCTCAAATGAAGTTAATTTTTTTTTTCCTTTGGATCAGCTCGATCCTTTCTGCTGTCAAGAACTTATTTATCCAAGTTTTCAGAGCAGAACTTGCCAGAGACCAAGGGAAATGGGATGAAGGCAGTCAAGTATACACAGACAGTGGCCAAGAAAAGAAAGAAAACACCTACAAAAGCTTTACAGGAAACACTGATGTATAACTGATGATACATGATATATGAGTTGATGATATATGAGTTGTATAACTTCATGTGATGATGATATATGAGTTGTATAACTTCATGTGATGATGATATATGAGTTGTATAACTTCATGTGATGATGATATATGAGTTGTACAGCAGGAAGAGAGAGATGAACAAAAGGAAAGCTAGGCAGCTCTGTTGGAAACATCTCCCGCAGATTCCACATCCAGGCAAATACGTTCCCCACTTCTAGGCCTCAGTGGTTTACCTCCAGATGAACACACCAACCAAACTCGACTTGGCTACACCTAACGCCTCGAGAAGCACAGGAAGGAACTTGCAAAAGTTACAACTCCTAGTATATACAGTGCAGGCTCTGAAAAGCCAAAAAGCCCAACTTCGTCTGAAAATTCAATTGAGTCAGTTAATGGGCCATTTTATTACTTATTCCTCCTAGAACATCTATTTCTTCCTGCTATTAAAAAAGCTATGCCACAGCAGATCTGTTAATTGGTTTCTCCCAGCTTGAACTGATTTTATTCCCCGCCTTAATTCGCTAGTACGCACAAACACTGCTAGCATAAACAGCAAACCGAAGCATCAGTCAGACACTCTTCTTAGAGCTGAAATCACTCACCAACTGGGATGTTTGAGGTCGTGACAGCTGTAGCATGGGAAGAATGGGAGGGCATTGTCATGGTGACAATGGTGCTTGTAGGCGCTTGGGTGTGAGACACAGAACCTAAAGGGAAAAAAAAAACCCACCCCTCGTATGAGATCTTTCTGCAGAGCCCTATCACACCAGCATATCTGTAGCCAAATGAAGAGGGCAAAAACCCCAACTCAGACAACCTCCCTGAAGAACCCAGTAATTTCTCTCCTGAAGCCTGCTCATGCACTTCCAAATGCAGTCTTTACCATAAATAATTCCTCAAAAGTAATCAGGTTCCATCTTCAAGGAGGAAACCCGACAGAAAGCAACAACAGAAACCACAGCCCACAACTCCCCCACAACAGCGTTACGAATACTCACCAGCTGTGGTCGCTGAAGCGATCGTATTTGTTGCCAAAATAGGTGCCACTGTTGCTGCTGCCACCGGAGTACCAGTACTGAAAATGGTTTTCTAGGAAAAGAAAACGAAATAAAACCTTCGAGTTAGAAGACGAGTACACTAACTTAGTATGGAATCATCCTGCATTGACTGTAAAAAACACGACTTGCCAACCTAGTACTAACCTTCTCCCAAATGTAATCATAGCACTAAAGATCGGAACAAAAGAGACGTCTAGACGAAGCAAGAGGATTTTTTTCTGCTCGCAGTTTACCTGAGCCATGGTGTGGAGCTGTGGCTTCTGTGTTCCTTTTGCTGGGTGAGACGGTAGTGTAATCCGCGTGGCCGCGTCCCTGGGCTGCGCCGGCCGCTGAATGCTAATAGCTGCAGAAGGTGGGTGCTGCTGGATAGACAGGGTGGGTCGACTGGAGAGAAAGAGAAGCGGTGATGAAGACAGCCACGTGGATACTAAACGTGAAAGATGCGATGCAGGGACACGCATCAGGCCTTGGCGTCTTTCTCTTTGAAAGCAGGCACTGCTATCAAATATATGGCCACGTTCCTTACGCTGCTTCACCTACACGGTTCTGTCCTCACCTTCCACAAGTACCCAGCCAGGGGGGCAGACTTATCAACAACACGTATCGGTCCACAAAACAGACTTTCTGTAGGGCATGCTGGCCAACATTCACGTGTCATTTTTTTCACCATGTCTTCATAAAAAAGATGGGCTCAATTAGCCACAAGTTCCCGCAACAGAAACCCTGCTTTCCAGGAAGCGGGAGATCACAGCTGATTCATTAAGCTCTTTCTTTCGCAGCGCACAGAGCAACAGTTCACGTTGACAGTAATTTTCATTCATCGAACTGCAAGCATCTGCACTGTGCAAGCATTACTATTTCTGTATGATCCCACCCCACCTCCAGAGGATTACCAGCTCTGGATGATTGACACCCGTTTCCCCTTCCTGCAGCCTCCATAAAGTCGGAGCGCTGTACACTTCAAAGCGTCGTTACCTGAGGGTTGACTCCGTAGCATGTGCCGCTGTTGTGGTTATAACAGGGGACTGAGCTCTTGTGGCCGAGACAGTTGCCACCACAGCCGGAGGAATAGTGCTTGAAGTCGTCACGGGAGGACGAGACTACAAAAACGAGTTGGAGAGACACATTCAGAAAAGAAATTCCACTACTTAGACAATAAGTAGGAATCAATCAGCTAAAACTGTTTTTTCCTAGCTCTCATCGCTAAGTTTCGGCATTCTAAGATGTTTCCAGTCTTTCTGACTCGATCTTACGCAGAGCTGTCCTGGTTTTCAATGCAGGTGCATCACAGGAATCAGTAACGAACAAAGTTAACAACCCTGGATCCCCTGAAGGTTTTTAGGAAAAACCCCAAAGGTCAGTTCCCTTTGGAATGAAAAGGAACCCCGATCCAAGAACACACAGGAAGTCAAAGGTGGTTACACTGGGATCCTAACTGAAAGCACAGAGTAAAAATGTTTAACCCTTTCTGCTAACACTGAACACTAGTACTGCTGCAGGGAGACGGTATCTACAATCTTCTCCTCTTCTCCTCATATCTGTACATAAGCTGAGATATATTGGAAGCATATTAAAATGAGATTTTTTTTTTTAAATTCTAGGTCAATACATATATCTAAGAATGAATCAACATGACCACATTGTACCAGACTTTCCAGACTTTAAAACTTGAGTATATCTGAACTAAATCCTCCTCCCAGCTTCCAAGCACTCTGCAGACAGTTAAAACCCCAATTTCTGGCACCAAGTCCCCAAAGGGAATACAGCCACAGGACGAATGCAACTGGATCACTACTGGCTATTAGAAAGTGGCACCCGAGCAACCCAACTGGAGGAGAGCAGACAGCAGCCTCAGCCCAGCAAACGTTACAGGTCACACATCACAAGCGCGTGCCCGGCCGGATGGGGAGCCGGTGGCCAGGGCTGCGCGGAGCCGCCTCAGGACCGTCGTTACTTTAGAACTGGACATCACCGCAGCAGCCGCTGCACCTGGGAAACAAAGCGAGCGCGTTAAAATACCGCGCAGCCACACGGCTCCGTCGTGGCCGCAGAGACTGACTCCCGCGTTAGCTGGTACGTATTTCAGTTTTCATGTTTTCCATATGTCTGTCAGCTCGGGCGACACTGGTTTAAAAGTAAGGCTTGCAGCAAATATATGTAAGGTTCACAGAAGTACGTGGGGAAGGGTAGGTACTATTTTAAATTAATTGGCTTTATTGATATTTCTTATTCCCCTGCAATAACCTTATATTGCAAATCCAATCATTTTCTATTCCAAGCTATGGAAATCAGTAGAAATAACTCAGTTTGATTACCAGGCTAATGTGTAAATTTGCCTGATACCAGCAATAATCTCACTGCACCTGATTAAGTTCAGAAGAAAAAAATACACATGCAATAAAAGAAAACCCAAAACAAATAAAACCCCACCCTTTTAAACCTGCAATTTGATTAACTGGTCTACTGTTTGCTGTCTCCTGCTCCTAAGAAACCACTGTAGAAGGCAAGTAGCCTTGAAGTCATTTGACGGACTAGACTGCGCAGCTTCCGTAGCTGTCCCCAACTGAAATTATTACCTCAAAAATTAATATTCAAGCTGAGAGAAAAGGAGCAGGAAGCAAAAAAGAAAACAGGCGCTAAGTGACAATACAAAGTTTGTGGCAGCTGTCCTACAAGAATCGAGTGAACAACACTACGTTTCACTTCAGCTGCAAATAAAGCTGCACAGTCCTTTCACCTGCCCTAGTAAAAGAAAATTAGGTCTTTGCTCATGGCAGTTTGTTTTTCTTGAGTGACCAACAACACTGAATATGAACGGAAATACAAATACAAGTGGTACTCTGGATTCAGATCAGCTTAAAGTTGAACTAGAAACCCAACCCACAGCTTTTTGAAAGTAAAACTGCAGTCAGGAGCCAGACAGGCCGTGCTGAGCACAAGGCTCCTTTTAAGGTGCTGATCTCCTGTTTTGTAAGCTGCAGCAACCAAAACCCTGGGAGACCAGAGCCAGCAGTTATCAGCAGCATTTAACTCAAGGGTAAATGCAAACGCACACCATAGGGTACATCAGCATGCATAAAAACGCACGCGTGATCCTGTGACAGGGGGGTACAAGAATATGCCCCCCAGCTGCTCAGGTGCCACTGTCATAGGGGAGCAACGCTTGCTACCGAGGATGTGCGTGACATTGCGCAGGACAGGTCAGCCTACACCAGCAGAGTGTTTCTTCTCAAAAGTGTTCACTGTTTTAACAGGACAGAATCAAACTAACAGACGTGCTGGTGTCTGCCAGCACTTTAAACGCCGTCACACAGCCCTGCCCTGAGCGGCTGAAGGCAATGTCATGCTTAAAAGGCCAGCAGTCGCCTAGCTGTGCTAGCAGTTTTGACAGCCGAAGCGTTGGCTGCATGAGCTGCAGAATTTTGGAGGCGAAGGCTCGATGCACCTCCCCTGAGCGGCTGTGAGCAGAAGGCAGGGACAGCGCAGCCACAGCTTTACCTCGGGGCAGGTGAGAAGCTCCGATGTGCAGCGGGGGCCCAGGAGCGCTGCTTCTGATGATAGACATCTGCACGTTGGTAGCCATGATATGATGCAAGTTACTAGGATGCCCCTGTGCAATTAAAAGAAATAACAAAACCCCAAATGAACTATGAGCTGTGTTGACAAGAACGAATGGCCACACTATGACCATACCTAAGCCCCAAAGACAGGGATCTTGTAGAAATTCTTGGTGTACAAAGGTACATTACAAGCTGAGTTTCTACAGGATAAAGCTACAGAGCCTGCTGACATTGCGTGTGGAAGATGTGAACATTTATCTATATCACCAATCTATATTTTCTGGTTGGTACACGGTGACAGTCCGCCCGCAGCCACCCACATGTCACCCAGCGAGATGGCCCTTCTGCCACTAGCGAATTCCAAGGCACAGATCCGCACCACCTCCCCAGTTAAGTCCAGAGAATGGTGGGAACCTGGCAAACGCTGCAACAAACCAATTCTATTTTCTTATAATTCCGGACTTCTCAGGGCTATTAATGAAGATGAAAATCCACTGAAACTGCTGCATGTCCATAGCCAGCCTAACTCAGATCCACCTCAAAGCATGTTACATCAAAGCCCCGAGACTTCAGAGGTTTTGTGATGAGTGCTCTGGCAAATTAGTTTCAAATTACAAGGACCGGGGCTCTGCAGTCAAAGTTAGAGGGGGAGAAAAAAAAGTTCTAAAGCAGTATCTATGCCTCCCCCCCTCAAATTTTGTCACTAGTGGTTGAATAACCACAAACTGTTCACCAGTCTCTTCTGATCTGCCCCCAGGAGAGCTAAAGAACACTGCTGCGATGAATCCCGGCAGTTTGTCTGCACCAGAAATCCTCCAAGTGATGCTGAAACAGCAGGAGGTCTTAAGGCGAGACCGAGCCGCACAGCGGCTTTTGGCTACGGCTCTACTGTCGCAGCCTCCCTGTGCCACACCAGTGGGATGATTACAACAAATCGGCAGCTTTCTGAAGAGCAAGTGATGACTGGGCCTGAGGTTTAACGCTCCAACAACCAGCGGCCACTGAATGGGGAAGCCTGCTCTCCCTCCTTCCCTCCTGCTGCAAGGGCCCACCTCAGCTGTACCGACATTAGCACCGAGCTAATCATGCAGTGAGCTGGGACAGGAAAAAAAACAACCAGAAAACCCCCCAAAACCAGACCTGTTGCCCACTGATCGTTGCCACGGGAATTGTTGGGGCCTGTGGTATGCTGCTTTCCATGGTCACAGTAACTTGCCCAGGAACCTTTGCTGGAGCCGAGAGAGTAGAGGGTGGAGCAGGAGCAATGGGCCGGCTGGGCATGGTGGGCTTCAAGGGAGGCTGCAAGAAATACAGAGACAGAAATGTTGGCAATTCCAGATCAGAGCTCAGTGTTGAAGCAGAACTCATTCTGGGGGGTCAAAGCCTGGAGAGAAAGTCCGCTTTGCGCAAGGATAATGACGGTGAAGTATCTGGAGAGGAAGGATACCGGTCATTTAGGGACATTCCATTTCCATTTCAGACGGGGCAAGGGTGTCCTGTGTACCGGGAACGCGCAGGAGGGTTGGACTGGATGACCCACAGAGGTCCCTTCCAACCCCGACCATTCTGTGATTCTGTGATACGGCACGAGCGGAACCTGCTGGGGCCACGGCATTCCCCTACAGACATGGGGCATTCACCGCTAATTCGATATCCTCATCTGCTCCTGCGCTGAGAGGGGGAGATTTCAGAAAGCGACTGAAGTTGCCCTACTGTTACGAGACAAACCCAACCCACCCCCCAGCACCAGCGCTGCGACGCGGTGACGTCCCGCGCGCGCCACGGGGACCAGCAGCGCACGCTCAGTAGTGGCGCGCCAGCAAAGCTTCAGAAGCAAAAGCGGGGAAGCTTCTGGTGGAATTTATTCTCGCTCAACACTCGCGGCATCGATCGTCTGTCCTCCCCCCGTGAACCCCCCTCACCTT